TTCTGGGGTATGCTTCGTGCATTAGAAGCAGGAACGTCAGCCTATTACTTCATACTTTTGCAAGCGGTTTCATCTTGTGCACATTCACCTGTGAACATTTTGAGCTGCAAAAGATAGCTAAATCTAACGACCTTCAAAAATTTGTTTTTTTTTTTTCAGTCGAAAAAGATTTATTAACAGAATTTCCCTATTCCCTTCTCTAATTTATCTTGCAGAGCTGAATGCTTTTTTTTCCAGAGACTGTAGAAGGATTCACAATGAGCAGCTGCTGGATGTTGTTGCGAAAAGTTTGTTGGATGCGTTGGTGCTTGAAGCAACTAATAAATACGTGCGAGAAATAGGGAGATGTAAAATAGATGAGGGTATAAATTATGTCAAGTCACGTCTGGATAAAATAAACAGGCAGCTGGACAGGTGAGCTTTATTTTACTTTTTACTGCACTACCCAAACATCCGTTTAATGCTCTGCGCGCTAATTTGCTCCAAATCGCTACAAAAAGCAAAAGTGATGCAAGTGATATATTAGGTTCGAAGATAGGTTTAACAAAAAACACTACGCGATGACGTCTCTGCCAGAAATCTTTCTAAAGTTTTGGAGCTCTATGGTTGTTTCGAAGCCCAGTGCTCTTCTTGGCAAAGTCAACAGTACTTATTCGATGGTAAATACAGTCCTGTCTGAGAATTGAAGTCGGTTTTAGCTTGTTTGCCAAAGCACTTCGCAAAGATCCCTGTTAAAAAGGATAACAGACCCTTGAGCAGTATCCGTCTGGCCACAAGTCACCGTCTCTGTCTGTGTTGAACAACGAAATATAAAGTGGAAGGCTAATTGTTTTTAAGTTAGTAAGGTGTTACATCTTCAGAAGCAGTGCTTATGGTACAATTTTGGCCCAGTATGACTCAGCTTTCCCCCTCTCTCCCTCCTTTTTTTTTTTGAAAAAATCGATTTACAAGAGCTGAAGTGAGATGTAGGAGCGATCGAGCAGCTGAAGGATAGAAGTGCCTCATCCCCTCCGGCTGCATTTCAGCGACCGGATTGCATGCCATTCACCACGATTTGCGGCTAGAAAAAGCCATAATAAATAGTTATGAAGGAGGACGAGAACGACAAGATTGACGTTTCATGAGCTACTTGGCTTGGAATGTACTGTGAAATTGGCTGTATGTTCATAATTTTGAAAGTAGAATTTAGGCTATGGCTGAAGCAGTTCTTTGATCGCTGGCGAGAATGCACAGCTCGTAGAAAAGAAGAGAATCGACTGAAAATGGAATTGTTGGGGACGTTTCCTGTTTTGCTGCCTGGTATATTTTCCTCACTCAGTTTTCGTTAATTTTTACTTCAGTTCTTCTGCTATCGATGAACAAAATGTACTGATCGTTTTGCTGACAGCCGATGGATGGGTAGCACATAGCAGCACTTGGCAGTGATGAAAAAGAAACTGTTCCCCGGGCAGTCTTCAGTGGAAAGGCACACTGCTACAACTGACGCTAAACAATTTCGGGCAAAATGGGTTCGATCCGCGTCCAGGTGTAATGAAATAGCCTTTAGCTTGTTTGCCAAAGCACTTCACAAGAATCTTTGCTGAAAACTCGGGTGCTTTTGGTAATGTGTGCTCACAGTCGTTGAAACTGAGGACACGATATGTCTGAATGTTATATTTTTTTTTGTTAGCACAGTCTTTTTCCGTTACAGTGTTTTCTTTTTTCAGTTTGTTAATCTAACACTCTAAAGGAAAAAAAAAAAACTACTGTTTAGCGAGTTGTCAGCTGGTCATTCACCAACGGTATGATCCACTAACGAATGGGTGCATCGCTGACGATTACAGCAAGGTGAGATTTTGTTACTGGCTTTTCCCGGTTTTTCTGTTATCTACTATTAGTTATTTATTTATCTTCTGCTATTTATCTACTCTTCGATTGTCGATTTGGCCCAGTAGCAGTTAGAATTATTTTTATGCCGAACATTCAGGTTTTGACCTTGCTAGTGCGAGAACAATCTTTCCATGAGTCGTTTTGTTAAATTTTTTCTTGTACATGAATGAATTTTCTTGTGCACGAAAAGGACTCGAAACCCCCACCAGTTTTTGAGAAGCTCTTGAAAGAGAGCCTTGCCGTCAGGGAGTGGCTGATGACACGCCCTCTCAATAATTGTCTCGGTCTTTAGTGGAAGTTAGTTTGGAGTGGGTTTTAACTTCGACTGTTTTGTGCACAGTAAACTGCATTGAAACAAAGGAGCGATACAATTTTTGCGCCATCGTTTCAGCTTTTCTTAAATGGCCGAAGAAAGAGTTAGTAAAAAATTGTTTTTAATTGCTCTTTTTTTTTTAATTTTAGAAAATTCTGAGCTTTTTAGTATTTACATTGTAGGACTGTGCATATTTTAGTCATCTAAATTCCGCTGCTGCCTCGGTTGTCTTTAAGAAAAATAATTTCCCAAGAAAAATAGTTCTTAAATGGATACTGATTTTTAAAAACGACAACTGTAAACAGATTTAATCAGATGCATTATTTTCAGCTACTTTTTGGGCAAAAACTGGACGCATTCGTTGAAAAGAGGCGTGAGAAAGTGGTGCGGAAGGCGTTTGCGAAGTGGCGGACGTGGACGCGCTGGCAAATTGAAAGGAGAGAATTTTTCACCGTAAGATTTTGTTTGGCGCCTCTCATATAGATGAAAGACAATGTTGAGGGCAAGGTGGGGCCCTGTGCCATAGAGTGTTGATCCCATGTCGAGGACCACTTTTGTAACTCCCAAAATAAGTACCCATGAAACACTGCAGTAGGGCCGCCTTGGCTTTAATGATATCTATAACTGAATAGTGGCGCATTTACTATTTATAGCGAAAATCCTCTTTGCATTCACTTCGTGTGGGACACTGTGGCACTCAGAAGCAACGCAGATGCGGGACTTTCAATCACTTCACTTTTCTCTGGCTTCAAACAGCTTCTAAGTGAAAATTCCAAAACAAATTTGCGTGCGTTGGCCTCTGCTGACAGCTAATACCAACATTCACAAGCAATCTGTGTGGTCAATTAAAATTACATTAGGAAGTTCTTACTTTTGTTTTTCTTAATGCCTTGTTTCTTTTCTGTGGCCGAATTTGAAAATCAGCAGTGGCACACAGCTTTCTGCTGACAAAACGGGAAAATTGATTTTGCCCCTGTTTAATTTATAATCGAATTTGGCGTTCTGCTGAAGGATTTGACCACCGATAGAACAATTAACCACTTTTTGCGGTTCGTTGATTTGTTTCATTAGTAAATTGGCACTGGCGTATACGCTGGAGAGTCGTAGTCGCCTTCAGCTTGCTTTTAAGCAGTCTTAAAAGATTTGGTTGTTGTTAGCATTTGCTGGAACTCGAGCTACTCCCTTGTGTCTCAGCTTTTCAAAGAGAGTGAACAGGGCTTTTTAACACCTTAATTCCATATTTTTGAGTAAAGTCTTTTTTTGCCTTCCAATACATTATTCAAGGTCGCAGACACTAATTCAACATTGAAATTACATCGTCGTTCCGCTGATTTTCGTGAGGATGAAGTTCGTTTACGAATGGCGCTGGCTGAAGCAGAATGCGAGCGACTGAAACCGTTTTTGATTGACGAGGAATTCCTCGATGGTTGGTTCTTGCAAGTTACTGATGGCGAAATGGAAGATAACAAATTTTATTCTTGTCATGCAGTTACATAAAAGTATGGCGATGCTGCTCAGTTTAATTTTTATTTAAGTATGTGATAACGATGGATCGCTAAAAAAAACATATCTTTTGGGAGGAATTAATCCCGCGTATTTTATGGGCATAGAGGATTTTTCATTGTTTTACCATTTAGAAAAAGCAGAGGAGGAGAGGAAAAAACAACCCGTGAAGTGGACTGAATCATTAAGCGAACGGTCGTCAGCACTGCTGGATCATTTCGATAAAAAAACTCTTGAAACAGGTAATAATTAAATGCGACCTTTTCCTTCTGTGCTTGAAAGAAGGGGCGAAAAAGAGAGAAGTCTGTTAGAAAATGAAACTGGCGATGAAATTATACCTAAAAATGTTGCAACTGGAAGCATCAGCCAATTATTAGGACATTTTTCAGGTATGAAGATTGCGCGGCAAAACCTGGAGCGGATAAATAAAAACAAACGCATACACGTAGGGTATGATGTTGGCCGAAAGGAATTTTCCAGCAGTTCCTATCCCAGGAAGTCGCAACAATCATTATATGGGGAATCTGTGAAAAATACAGAAGATAAAACAGCAGCTGAGGAGAATAGCCCAGTGCCCAAGAGAAAAGTAAGTTTTGGGCTTATTTATACTGCTGTTTTCTTCGTGAAGATAAAGACGCAAATCGCATTGTTTCTTGAAAAAATTAACATTCATTAAAAGTGATATGAACGCCACAGACTGCCGATAA